TTTATAATACAAAATATTATATATTATTGTTATTTACTCAAAATACTTTATGAGTAGACATTAATTGGTGTCATATTTTTTTCCCAAGGTTATCCAGGGTTCCAGGCAGCAACATATGCGAGTCGCAGCTATACTAGTCTGACCCCAGGATACACATATCAGTTCCCTGGTAAGACTCAATGTCCGGCTCATGCATTCTGTAGACCTTTCCACATATTGGTTCACTGGGATTAACTCTTTCCTGGGATACGTTTTTGCAAACACAGTATTATCAAATATTGGGTTTTTGAGTCAGAAGTGATTGTTTATTAGATTATAATTGTATATGCGCAAATCAGTATATACTTAAGTGGTTGTCAGATACAAGTTGCTAACATTAAGCAACATAACAACTACAGGTGCATCTCAATAAATTAAGAGTTGAATTACTGAAATAAATTAACTTTTCCACGACATTCTAATTTATTGAGATGCACCTGTAGTTGCTAAATATGCTTTTGAACATTATCTGGCATTCCTGGTGAAACATTTGATGCCACCCAATTTCCATATGCACATACATATGCAAGTAATACACTAATAGTAATCAAAAATGGAAATTCTACATTTGTGCTTAGATTTTATGAGTAAAACCACATATATTCGATTATACTGTATGTACATTACCACTCTGATTCTGAGACTGATTTTTAAATGTTTTTTATGGAAGTCTTTAATGCTCACCGAGGCTGCATTTATGTGATAAAATAAAAACAGTAATAATGTGAAATAATATTACAATTTTAAATAACTGTTTTCTATTTGAATATATTTTCAAATGTAATTTATTCCTGTGATGCAAAGCTTAATTTCCAGCATCATTACTCCAGTCTTCAGTGTCACATGATCCTTCAGAAATCATTCTAATGTGCTGATTTGATGCTCAAGAAACATTTCTTATTATTGTCAGTGTTGAAAACAGTTGTGCTGCTCAATAGTTTTGTGGAAATCTGTGCATTTCAATCAGTCATTTACACACAAAAAAGAAACCCATGGCTGCTTGTAAATCTCAGAGAGGCCGTCTAAGACTGTCTTTCTAGGTGTCTTGCCACTCATAGGCCCTGTAGTGCTTGTCCATGTGTGTAGTGTGAACAGCTCTTGTGTGTATGTTTAAACAGCTTTCTGTGTTTATCTCTATTCTAGAATTCCACTTAGAGAGGACCCCCCTTCTGACATCACCCCACCCCGCTGAGCTCACAGGTTAGTTCCTCTATGAGCATTACAAGCAGCTATTGTACACGGCAGCCGCTCGCCATATTCCAGTACACAGCATAGTGTGATCTGAATACTGTCAGCTTACTTTGTGACAACACCACCCAGGAAATCCTGCATAACAGCTTACAGGCATTACCACACATTATCAGAGCATCATTTCTTACTCAGTATGATGCAAGCACTTTTCCCACTGCTTTCGTACTGCTTGGTACTGATTAAGTTCTCTTTCCTGTTTGTTTGATTGTTCTGCGTGTATGCGGATGTTTTCGTAGCCATTCCTCTAACGGCGTACAACCCCATGGCGGCAGCCGCAGCAGCAGCAGCTGTGGTCAGAGGTGCGAGAATTTTGTTTTTTCTACATCCCACACACGACCCATGCTCAGCAAATGAGAGCTCACACCCCAATGGCTGGCCTATATAGCTTTAAGATTCCCTGTTAATGAAAAGTGGTTAAGACATTGTGGAATTTCATGTTGATTTTTTAGGCTCAACTCCTTCTCGCACAGCTGGGTTTTTAGGTACCAGCAGCCCTGGGCCGATGGCAGACCTGTATGGAACGGCCACTCAGGACTCAGCCATCAGTAGCTATATCAGCGCTGCAAGTCCCGCTCCCAGCACTGGATTCAGCCACAGCCTTGGGGTGAGTCAGCAACATGCAGTGTTGATACTGTTAACTAAAACTAATACTATTAAAATATTGAAATAAATCTGACATGTATACTAAAAGTAAAAATGAGAAATGTTGCTTTGGCAACTAACTTAAAAATCACTAAGTTGAAGTACTCAAATTACTCAAATTAAAACTTAAATTAAAAAAATTAATCAAAGCTAAACAGAAGTATTAAACAATAATAATAATGATAAAATTACTAATACTTAAACTATATTTAAAATGAAAACTGAAAATATAAAAAAGCTAACTCAAAATATTAACAAATTCAAAAAAATAAACTTAATGAGTCTCGTGAATTCATAATTCACAAAAAAAGTAATTACAAACATGATTTGTACATCTGAATCGTACATCTGAATTGCATTTTTTAATGTATTTTTTTTATTTAACAAAGCGCCATGTCATTGATTGAGAAAATCTGATGACCACAATGAATTTAATAAATAATTGAACTTTAAGTAAGTAAAAATAATCATGTTTTTCCTGTGAATTCCTTCATGCTGCATTAAAATTAATGCCTTATTTTTACTTTTACAGGGCCCTCTGATTGCTACAGCATTTACTAACGGCTATCATTGAAATGAGTGACAGGTACAATAGTATTCATGGTTCTGACGTCTTCCCTACATCTTAAGGAAGGATTTTTGAAGTATGTGGTGATCTCAATCGAATATAATGGATGCACTCTACGTGCCGCAGGGTTTTATTCTTTTATCAAGCTCTCTGACTTTGAATGGTTTTGGATGAAATGAATCAACCTTAAACTGATGGAATGTCAGTTGCAACACTATTAATGTGATATTTCCTGTTTTATGAGTTACTGTCATATCAGTCTCTAAACTAACCTCCTGCTCCTCTTATATAGAGCTAAACCTGTAAATAATTAGTTCATTTCTCCATTTAAAATGCTAACAACTTAAGTGTATTTTTTGTCTTAGTTTTATGTTTTTGATCTCTCAGTCCTTGTTCAAAGTTTTGTCTTTTTTGTGATGACTATGTACATGTAGGTATGTAACTGTAGAAAAGCCTTTTCTTTTTAACAGCATAAGAGCAATAATCTGTCAAAACTATGTGAATCTTTGTAGCGTATTTAAAAGACTAAATCACTTTCAGACATTTGGTACATTTTCTACTGAAGAATATAGTGTGATGGGATGTCAAAATGTATATTTTGTTAGTTTTGCAACTGGATTTATTACATAGATCATGAAAATAGCAGTAATTATAAGGAGAACATACTTCTCAGACTTAGATTCGACCTTGTTTGTGTAAAATATTGTACATACTATCTTTTTGATCTGGTGAGATCTGTCGGCTTGATTAAGAGAGCTTTTTATGCTCAAGAACGCAAACACATGATATTGTGTGACCAAAAATGCTTTTTTCCCCCCATGATTTGATGAACTTGAACTTTTTGTTTTATTTTGTTCAGTGTTTTTTGTGACAGAAGCCAATGTGAACGATGCTACTGTTGAGTGAATGTTTGTTCGAGAGTGAATGCATGTCTGGTGTTGTCGTGATCTAATGTATTATCTTCAGTAAGATGATTTAAAATGTGAATTGTAACCCCTATTTCCATGCTGTTATGTTGCTTTTACCAAGTTTATATCTATAACACAATTCCTTTCATCTCTTTTAGAGGTTTAAAGTGTTGTAATAATTGGAATATAAATGTCCTTCAATTAACTGAAGATTCTGGTACTGGTGGAAAAAAAGTAGCAACACTAATATAACACTTTTTATGAAGTAAACAGGATGGCTGTTATTAATTGAAAGTTTTAATGTTTCTTGTTTGAAGCTTAAATAAAAAAAATTCAAAGTCAATTTGGAAATACAAATTCAATTATTTCACATTTCAAAACTCCTACATGATTTAAATCTGCGTGCATGACTCACTTTACACCAGAAGATGCCTGTTAATTTTTTTAGCCTTTTTTTTATTCACATGTGGGTTCAGGGCATGTCAAATAGCCCACAGTATGTTATTGATTCTGTCTTCTGAAAGCGCACACTCAACACCCCCACACAGAAATCTGTATTCAAGGGACATTTGTGAAAATACATTGAAACTAGAGATTTTGGTCAGGTTGAAACAGGGTTATCTTATTGTTGAAGCACGTCATATGACTAGGGCTTTTACCGTTAAGTCGCTAAATGGGGTTGCGTAGGCGGTAACACGTATTAGTCTTTTTCGATAAACATCTCTTTTCTGACAATTAAACAGTTTATTTTTTGTCATCTTCTTGTATGACGCTTATTGCTACAAAACTTGCTATAAACACTGTACAAAGTGGTAACCTAAAATTGTTAACTTGAAAAGCAATTTTTACCTCATAAAAATTAGTTTTGTTGGTATAAATTAATTGTCGGTTGATTTAGTGATGTTAAATAATGTTTTTGATTTGAATAAAACCAGATAATTTAGATGTAACCAGTTAATTTAGATGTTAACATTTTCAGGTTAACATCTTTTTAGTGTGATATGAAAAACAAAATAGAATAAAACTTTGCATATTGCTGTAGCCACCACACATTATAATTTCTCTCTTTCTAAATAGAATTTTAACAATTGCAGTCTAATTCCTATGTACACACACAATCATTTTGAAAGTTTCTTTTCAGTGCACTTATAAAATAAAAACACTGGCAGATAAACCACTGGCAAAACATAATTTTGCTATTCCATTACGCTGCATATCAGTTTGACACTCACCTTTTAATCAGTACAATAAAAATAAGTTCAAGCGTCACTATTTAACCCTAACCTGATCACTCAAAAGACACACAAAAAATCTTTGAAATAATTTTATCTTAAAAATATACATGCAGTTTGAACACAATACAGCTTCAAATAGACTCAAATGTGAGCCACAGCATTTAACAATTCAGTCTTCATGAACACTGCATGAAAAAACACAAACGGCTGGAAACTATATAAATGTATTTACAGGAAAAACCTTCACAAAACTGGGCCAAACAGGAACAGAAGTTTGAAGTGCCATTAAAAGAGGGAATGGCACCCTATCTCATATGCAAGGTGAAATTTCTTTTATTAAATTCAGGCAAATAATGCTTAACCTTCATCCTTTGGTCCTTTCTTTAAGTGGACCTCAGAGTATGTCACTGAATCCTCTGTGCAGGTCACTGAAATAAGTGCCATAGCCGGACAATTCTGAAAAACAAGTCATAACATGATATAATAATTGCATCTGGTTCCATACACTATAAAAAATGATATGATCAGTAAGTCGTGACAACTTATGTTACATTACTTTAACTCATCAAAATAAGTTGAGCAATTACAACTTTTTTATAAGTTATATGAAGTCCAACTTGATTTCATGTCAGTTTAATGTAATTTAAGTTGAAATGACTTGCACAACCAAGTTGAGTATACTCAAATTTGAACTTAAGTTTTTTTCAGTTGAAATAGGTGGAATCTTTTTTTTTTTTTTTGCAATGTATTAAGTGCGAATGAAAAAAAAATTCTCCATTTGCTTACTAAATTGTTAACATAACATGTAACAAATAACGGCATGATTTGAATACGACAGACTACTAAAGGCTCTTGATGGGCAAATTTACCTCTTTTCTTGATTTTACACTGTCTCGAGGAATGTTTAATGCTGCATAAACAACATGAGTTTGCTGAGCGTCTGGACAGGGTGATCCACGGGTAACGTCAACCTGAGAGTGAAATAATAAATTGAAAAATACTATATTACTTTTCTGAAAGACCATTAGCCTTGCCAATATTCAGAATCAATCAATCAATCAAATAAACAAACAAACAAATAAATAAACATCACTTACTAGGGCTTCTTTTGCTCTAGATTCTATTCTGCAGTGTCCTAGATTAAAAAAGAAATCAGCATGTTAAACTTTATAGTCACTTGAATTTAGTTTATTTAAAAATGTAATAGTTCTTCAAATCTCAAGCACACTGTGATAAACCCATAAACATTCAAGTTTAAAAGAAATTTCACAATTTTTCTTGCCTTTATAATGTGTGTGAATAACACAGACAATGCAGATGATCAGCAAAACAAAGCCCAAGCCTGAAAGCACTGACCACATCACTGTGTTCATTGTGAGAGTTTGTGTTGTCACTGTTGTTGAATTAGGCACTACAATTGTTGTGAGAGAGAGGTATAAACGGTCATCATTTGGATTATTCATTTAAGTACCAAAAATGTGTAGAGTGCATTGACTGTCCTTAAAAAAATGGAATGAAAATAAAGCAAGTAAAGAATAAAGCTCACCCACATATACATGCGTCCCATTTCCAAGTTCAGCAGGTTCAAGTGTAGGTAAATCCACAAATGCTGTGCAGTAATAGATGCCACTATGATTTAGATTCACCGACAGCAGCTGCAGTGTTGCATTAATTCTCCCAGATCCATTTACAGGCGATCTATGGTAAGACGTTGTACTGTTCGGTACAGTTTGATTATCTTGGCACCACTTCACCATGATTCTTTCCACGTGTGAATCAGCTTTAATGTGACAGGTGATGATGACATCTGTGCCTTCTTTTGCTGTTATCTCAGGAATTTGCCACACAGATATGCCCAGATTTGGCAAAGATACATCTCCAGGGACGAGACCTGTGAGAAAGCAGCAAAAAAATAAAGCAATTCATTTGTTTAATTGCATCAAGCTATTGACCTTATGTCAATAATATGTTGTTATCAAGGAGGAAAAGGACGATATTACCTGTGAACCAGATGGTTACGAAGAGAGTAGAGAGACTGGTGCGTGTCATTTTATCTATAAGCTACTACAGAGATAGTGGGTTTCTCACGTTAGCAGAGGCAGGTGTTTTTCATTTTCCTGTGTGGTGTATCCTGCCGTTTGAAACAAAGCATCACCTTATCAGCATAAACTCACACGCTACGGTGACACCCACAGACAGGCAAACTGGGCTCACATTACAGCATTTTCACTTTTTATCTGTTAAGTCAATGACGTCATTAACTCATTTCTGTCAAATCTACATTCGTTTAGCAAATCTATACATTTTTAATTTATTCAAAATACATTCAAATGCAATTCATACATACAAAATCTTCAATTCTTGAAAAGAAGAAAATTGTGGCCTTATGTCTCACACGGGACAAAGAGTATTAAGCAAGTAATTCAGGTTGTAAAATGCAATGTGGTGTACCTCTCCTTTATTTATATTTATAATGCATGATATCTCTGTAATACATTATATATACAGTGGGTACGGAAAGTATTCAGACCCCCTTAAATTTTCACTCTTTGTTATATTGCAGCCATTTGCTAAAATCATTTAAGTTATTTTTTTTTCCTCATTAATGTACACACAGCACCCCATATTGACAGAAAAACACAGAATTGTTGACATTTTTGCAGATTTATTAAAAAAGAAAAACTGAAATATCACATGGTCCTAAGTATTCAGACCCTTTGCTGTGACACTCATATATTTAACTCAGGTGCTGTCCATTTCTTCTGATCATCCTTGAGATGGTTCTACACCTTCATTTGAGTCCAGCTGTGTTTGATTATACTGATTGGACTTGATTAGGAAAGCCACACACCTGTCTATATAAGACCTTACAGCTCACAGTGCATGTCAGAGCAAAATGCTGAAAGGTATATCCAAGTTCTAGAACAACATATGCTCCCATCCAGACGTCGTCTCTTTCAGGGAAGACCTTGCATTTTCCAACATGACAATGCCAGACCACATACTGCATCAATTACAACATCATGGCTGCGTAGAAGGATCCGGGTACTGAAATGGCCAGCCTGCAGTCCAGATCTTTCACCCATAGAAAACATTTGGTGCATCATAAAGAGGAAGATGCGACAAAGAAGACCTAAGACAGTTGAGCAACTAGAAGCCTGTATTAGACAAGAATGGGACAACATTCCTATTCCTAAACTTGAGCAACTTGTCTCCTCAGTCCCCAGACGTTTGCAGACTGTTATAAAAAGAAGAGGGGATGCCACACAGTGGTAAACATGGCCTTGTCCCAACTTTTTTGAGATGTGTTGATGCCATGAAATTTAAAATCAACTTATTTTTCCCTTAAAATTATACATTTTCTCAGTTTAAACATTTGATATGTCATCTATGTTGTATTAATAAATAAATATTAATTTATTTGAATAAAATATTGAAATTTAAAACTTCCACATCATTGCATTCTGTTTTTATTCACAATTTGTACAGTGTCCCAACTTTTTTGGAATCTGATTTGTATATAAATAATTTTAGATTAAGATGTGTGCAAGTTGTAAAGAAAATGTGTTACTTTTTACTTGATGGTTGCACCACATGATACTTTTAGTCATTAAATTTAGACTTATGTTGTTATTTAAACCATATGGAAACAACTATAAAAAGTTCATGTCAAAATAACCATATTTTTAGAACGTTTGGCTACACATTTTGAGGTGTCCTTGTTACAGTGTAATTATACGCTTAAGTACTGAGTATTAATTAAGTACATGTACTTACTATAGGGTTATGGTTGCATGTAATTATGCATAATTTACTGTTATTACTATAAGTACATGTAACGTGTAACAAGAACACTGTAAAATAACGTTTTACCAAAGTTACAGACTTTTACACTATATCATCCAGTGCACTATTGTGCATATGTAATGTGTGATACAGCCTTTATTCTCTATGCTGTGCTGTTTGCGCCGCCCTCACTTGCAGTACTATGCAAAAACCGTGGGAAAATTGCCAGTGTTCATTTCTTGGCAGCCTTGTAATGTGATTTTGGGGCCATTATCCATATGGCTGTATCAGTTGTAACTTCAACACTCCCTTCTCCCTTTGTCAGATAATGGTAATATGGGCAAGTAGACAGGCTTTTTTTTCTCTGCTTGCCTCTCCTCTTACATCTTACATTGCTTCAGCGTCCTGCACACATTCTCTCTCTCTCCCTCTCTGAAGTGGGATAGTGTTCAGCCCGGGTGGTAATTAGGTCATAAGCCATCTCTGACTCACTCAACATCTCATCCATCGCCTTTCACACTTACCTAGTCATCTGACATCCCCCATGAGTGTCTTCATGAGCTCTTGCCTTCTTGTTTCTCCTCCAGTCTTCCATTCAGTTTCCTGATCTTCTCCACACGGCTCTTGTAAATGTTCTCACCATCTCCTGCTCCTTCTTAACTCTGCACCGCTTGACACTCCTGCATCATGAGTCCTGGTCTTCAGCGGTCGGATGGAAAGACAAACCACTCTATCGATGGGAGTTCGGACCACAGTTTTGGAAGGTGTGCTGAGGCGCAGGGGGCACCACCACTGAGAAATTACATTGTTTTGACTATTTTCACTTGCTTTTGTCCAGCGTGGCCTATTAACATTGTAGCATTGGTCTTTTCTCTAATGGTGAGTAGAAAAGACTATAGTTTTTTTGTTATTATTGAGTGTATCTACCTGGACAGTTGCAAAAATGGAAATTCTGTCATAATTTGTTCACCTTCATGTCCAATCAAACCTGAATGACTTTCTTTCTCTTGTGGAACATAAAAGAAGATATTTTGAGAATTTTTCTGTCCAGACAATGGAAGTCAATGGTGACCAAAAAACTGTTTGCTTACTAACATTCTTCAAAATACCTTCTTTTGTGTTTTGCAGAAGAACGGTCATATAGTACAGGTTTGCAGTGACATGAGAGTAAACAATGACAGAATGTTCATTTTTGGGTGAACTATCCCTTTAAATCAAATCCTTAACTGAGGATATAGATCACGATGTGCAGTTTATCTTTGGTCTTATCTTTAGCTGCAGAGTGTTTTTCTGAAAAGGTATGTTTCTTGTGGGTTTATAGTTTTGCACTTGGCAGTGTGTTATACATGCGGCTTTGAAATCTGACTAAACGTAATGTTCTTATGATCCAGATAGACATATAAGTGTTATAAATAGACAGGCCTCAAGTATCTGTGCAGTTCATTATGTAGCACTTCCACACTTGCAAGCAAGACTGCATACACTCTCACACACGTCTCACACACACACACCCTTTCCCCTACACGAACATTCACACGGCAGCCTGTAGATGTGCTCACTTGCACAAGCCACGTGAAAGGTGGATGCTATGATGATGAACCTTCTCAGGCTATTGTTCTCAACCAATGCTTATATGAACAGGAATGTTTTTTCAGTGGTTTCCTACCTGACTTTTCACACCTTGACCTCAGAATGAGAGACACAGCTCTTACAGTCTGGCCACTAACATGTAATTCATTTTTTTAATGTCAATTAAAAAGAAAGTTACTTTTTCTATGAATTTAATATACAGTATATTAAAGAACAGTGTTTCTCATTCTTTTTTGTCTTATAGTATCTAAGGCCATGGCCTCATCAATACGGCTCAACATTAATATATTATATATATATATATCTTGTGATAACTGTAAATGTGGAGGCAAATACTTGAGGCCTGTGTGTATTATTAAAGCCATTAATATTATTAATTTAAGATAATATATAGTACACTTAAATGATGGTGTGTAAATAATAAATAAAAAGTATTTAAAAATAATTATAAATAATATTAATTCTGGAAAAATATGAAAATGTGTGTGTGTGTGTGTGTGTATAAATAGAACATTTGAATAACTGTATAAATTTAATACTGATATGTGTTATAAACAAAAAAATATATATATATATATATATATAATATTAATTATATAATTGAAATGTATTATAAACGTACACACACAAACATTTAAATAATTTTTAAATAATGTTATTTAAAGCTTTTAAACAGTAATAATTGTCATTATGGGTGAAAAACAGAAAATGAAAAACATTAGGTTAACGCTTAGTTTTTTTTATTATTAGTCTAATGACAACCTTAATATTTGTAAGTAATTTCTGCGTTACAGTTTTAAGCACTGCACCATAGGAATAAAGAATAATAATATGGGTATAAATGTAGCATATGATCATTTGTATATTTTCATTGGCATACATGTGATTCATCCGCATCATAAAAATGAATCATTTTCACCAGCTGCCCATTTCTGTCATACCATTCCCCTGCGTTCAGCAATCAAATCTGTGCTTTCAAATGCCACTACCAGACTAGAGGCTGAATGGGGTAAAGTGCAGGGGCTTGCTGTGGAGTGCAAAACCTCCAGTTTCAGGTTGACTCTGCCACTGTTAACACATTAAAACTTTAAGGCTCACTGACTACAGCAGCTGCAGACGCCACCACACCGCCTGTAAGAAACTAGAAGAGCATCACAAATCATGCAAACCAGCTTACTGCCCTCTGACACACAGGGGGGTTTTATGCACACTGTAACATTGTTAAAAGTGGTTAACACATAATGATTATCTTTACAACAGCAGAGATTTAATGCTTTTAAATATTTTTTTCTCTCACTAAACTTAATGTTCATACATGAAAAAAATATTTAATAATCCTTAAAACAAGATTTACTTGAGATTTACTTTCATATTTACTTAAAATACATAATATATTAAAACTATTGTATTTTTTTATGTTTTAAGCATACATTTCAAAACATTTAGTGATGTTTACCTCTAATAAAAAGTTTAGACCACCTGCTTTGTCTCAAATAATATCCAAACCCGAATAATTATGGTTTTAATATGCGAATCAGCTTAGTGAAGTCAGATCATCTCTGTCATCCCAGTAAATGTGATTTAGTGCGAGTGAGCTGTAAGTCCAAGGCTCAGTTTGCTGTCTGATCTTATTAAGAGAGATGAAATAAGGCTGGCATCTTCACTACGCCCCTCATTGCTGTCTGCTTTATGGGCCACATACTGAAGTCTAGTTTTCACTTAGAGACCTGTCACTAATGCTGCAATCCAA